ATATAATTGTTAAATGGCCAAAAAATAACAAAAAACAAATAACTTAAATAATAGAGTGATGAAAAAACCCGATTTTGGCTGTTTTTAGCAGTCGCCAAGAACGAACATTTTGTTGACCCTGGAAATAATTGCAAATTTATTTTCACGACCTAGTCTAAAAAAATGAGTTATCCTCAAGAAGAAGAGAATTTAAAAATAACATTTTTTAAATTTAAGAATAAAGTAAAAAATAATAATGAATACATTTTCAAACCGTTTCTGTGGAAATATCTATCTTTATTATTTTTATTTTTATCTACATATGTATGTACACCCATTCATTCATATATACCACATATGCATGCATATAAATTTAAATTGTTTTTATGAATTGCCTGAACTGAAGTCAATGGCGCATGTAAGCATGTGAAGTCAAGCTCACAAAACCAATATCGCTTAAAATTTATTTACTGTAAATAACACATTTGCCGGAATATGTAATAAAAACGATTTTACGTATTTTCCCACACTCAAAAAGGGAAAAATTATGAATTTGATTTGCATAAATTACGAGTACGGTAAATTTAGCAGCTCATCAAGATAAAAGCAATCGTTTAGTGAGGTCGGCTAATGGATTGCCAAAAAAAAAATAAATCTAATATTTGAAGATTTTTTTTAAATGCAATTCCTCATTGTTCATTTAAATCTTTTAATTACTCATAGCTGCTATGAAATAAATTGAGCTTGTAAAAGCGAAAGACAAAGTATAAATACAAAAAAAATCTATGGCACTAAAATAGTATTGAAATTACATTTAAAAAATTGTATTGTTGGTTTTTTATATTCGCTTTTGTGTTTCATTGTTTAATTGTACAAACATATGTACTATGTCCATTAGAGTAGTCCAAACAAGTTTTTCCGAGATAGGGTTTGAGGCACTTTCCACAATTTTTTCTCTTGCCAAAAGAGGTGCTGGCACCAAACTTTACGTTTCAAAGTATAAATTTAGCGGGTGCTTATGACATTTTTATATTGTACTCTAGAAGTGTTTTGTACATACATTAACTAAACATATATTTTATAAGGGGGAAAAACAACATTTCGTAGCAATGGTCTTGAAAATCAATATTTGTCGATTAGAAAACTCTGGCCCTTATCGGGAGACTTCCAATAACAATATCGAATTCTTTAACACTAAACATTTTTTATTCAAGCCCCCTTTGCATTTTCTGAGGGTTTTGGGGGCCTATAAAATATATATGCTATTGCTATTTATTGTTAAATAAATAATTACACATTTGTATTGGGAACCTGCTCAAGAGACAGAGTTTTCCGATCGAAAAATATTGATTTTCAATATTCCTATACCATTTCTACGAAAATTGTTTTTTCGTATATATTTAAAATATATAGAAAACTTAAAAAAAAGGGGTATATTTTTTCGATATAGAGCCATCCTAGGTGGTGATTGCATAACATTTCCGACTTTGCTTTTTCCACATGCGTTTTTGGACCACCCTCATATATGTACATACACACACGCACATGTAGCAATTTCACACACTTACCTTCGGTGAGAACAGACACGCCACGGTGACACTCGCCGACAAACTAATTGTCACTGACATTGAAGTTAATCTCAGTGGCACATGATTGCCTGTGCCGAAATAAAGTGGCACAAAGGCCAGCCAAATGACACAAGTGGTATACATAGTGAATCCTATGCGATGGTAAGGAAACAGAGTAAAAATAAAGCGAAACGGTGGAAAAATCAAAACAAGGAAGTGGTTTTAAATAATAGGGGAATTGAGGAGCGGTAGAAAATAAACCAGACAATTTCAGAAATAATTTTTCATTTCGAAATTCCACACACACACGCGCGCGCCGATAGCATCGAGGCAATTTCGCAATCGAGCGAACATTGATGGTTTTGACAGCAACATCAACAGCAGCAGCAGCAGCAGCATTCCAGAAAGCAATTGCAGGTGGGAATAAAATGAAATGAAAATGGTAGATAATTGCAATTGACAATTAGTTGAAAATGTGGTAATGTGATTTGAAAGTTATGACAAATAAATATTGACCAATTAGTGCAGAAATAGAAATAATTATTGACTTGTATCGAGCATTTGCTATCTACACAGCTTCTCAGTAATGCAGCTCTTCGAAGCATCTCAAATTTATTTTACGTAATTTTACATTTAATAAGAAAAAAATGGCTCTATTATACTGCATTTAAGTTTTTTCCTTACAATCAAGCACTCACCAATATGTTTGGACTCGTTAAATGCTTCGGGTATTTTCCGTGTGAGCACCGCATAAACCGTGCAAACTACAATCAGAACGATGGGATAGAAGAATGCAATCATGTAGGAAGCATCGATGTAAGAATCACAGACGAGCAAATTATCCTCGCGTGTCGGATGGTGGTACATGGCGTGCGACGGTGAAATCACCATCCAAACGCCATTAATGAGAATCTGCAATGAAGTTGGGGATACAAGAAAAATGAAAAGAAAAATTCAAACTGCATACGAATAAATATAAATTATTTTTTAATGGCATACAGTGCACTGTGCTAATATGTTTGTATATGTATAGACATTTGGTATTAGTGGCGCACTTAAAAGTGGATAATGAATAATGGAAGGGTTACTGTAAGAAAAATTGTATTGTAATGGCCCAGCATAGTTGCATGCAACATTTCGTGGCATGTCAGCACAAAAGAGCAGCATTTCAAAAGCATTTGCCACATTATACATTGCACTTGCTTCGTTTCAATGTTCTGGTTTAAGGTTTTTCTTCTCAATAGATGATTTTTTTGTGTGGTTGCTAACTTTAAAACAAAAAATATTTTTTTTTTGGTTGTATTTTTTCTTATTATTACCCTTACTCAACTTACTTGTATGAATATTAGAAACGAGCAAATGACCAATTGTGATTTCGGACTAATAAAAGATGGCCGCTTCGCTGATTGCTTGCCGGCTTTGAAGATACGCGCAATCCGATTGGTTTTGGTGAGCAGCGCCGCATAGACAACGGTGAAGCAGAAGCCGACGCTGAAGCTGTGGTAGAAACAAAAGGAAAAGAAATGTGGGAAAAAATATATTAAAAAAATTTAAAAACTAAATATTTACATAAATATGTATGTAGAAAACAACAGTCATACTGGGCATACGTATTTCGATACGACACACAGTGGGGTTTCGGCGGTAAAAATACAGTTTTTTGAACATTAAATTCTTACATATCAACAACAAAAAGTACGATATTCAAGATCTTTAATTTGAGCCATTTGGTAGAAATCTTTTGACCCTTTGAGAGTCAAATTAAAACGATTGTGGAGTTTGAAATTTCATTCGATATTTTTATAATTTTTTTTTTGCGATTTCAGAACAAAAACTCGTACAACAGTTCCGAATTTTGTGTTTAAATCGTTATAATTTGGCTCCTAAAGGGCTTGGCTCAAATTAAAGATCTTGAATAATACTATGACGAACTTTTTGTTCCAGTAATATAAAAATGTGAAAAAATGTAAATAATTCAATATATTATGCACTTTTAAACTGAGAGGTTAATTTTTTTTCTTTTTTTTTAACAGTGGAATCGTGTTTCTCTTCTCAAAATCTACAATATTAGTGTAATAAAACAAACAAAGAATTTTTTTTGAAAGAAACACGGGACGGGGTTTTGTCATTTTTTTCGAAGAACACTATTTTTGGCAATTTTTTTTTAAGATCAAGGAGTAGTTCTGACTCAATAGCAATATTTTTACGTATAATATACATTTTGTTGTATATCAAAATGTTGCTTATATCGCAACGATTTATTCGCATAGAGTGTTCAAAAAGCATTCTGGGGCGTATTTTGAAAATATTTTTAGCCTACAACTATGCGTGGAATGCCTGCGGTAGGTGCGCTAAATTTGGCCTTGCGGTTTAGAATGCAACTGCTGCAAATACAGCAGTGATTAAGATAATAGTAGTAAAATTCAAAATGATATTGTTTGCAACTCCTGTTTAAAAAAATATTTTTAATAATTTTCATTTAAAATATGGTTCGATCTATAGCAGAAACCACAGAAATAAAAATTACAAAAATTGCACAAAGTTCACAAAAATGAATCAAACTTCGAAACATTTTCCTCAAAATTTCTAACTTTTTTTTGAGTTTTCGGAAATTTTTCGAGTATGCAGTTTTGTAGCCCATTAAATTTTAGTACAATAAAGTGCAAGTTTTAAATCATTAAAAATTACTATTGAATTTTTAGATTTCTTTTTCATCAAGCAAAACCTATTTTTATTAGTCGGTTTTAGCGCTCCATTTGGCTGTGGAAAGGTATTTTCAGGTAGTAATTTGTCATCCTCACTAACACGAGATTTCCAGCATTTTTTCGGGACGAGTTGGTAGAAATATCAAATTATCAGAAGACGTTTAGTTTCAAAACTAGTATCTTTTGTGAGAGTATTTTATTCATATGTAACAGCCATTTGCCACTAAAAAAAACTCACTGAATCTCCTATAAAAATAGAGCACACCTCACTGAAGCGGAAGATTCATATACATTAATTTTATAAGAACTTTCGTGACGAGAAAATGAGGCTTAGCCATCTATTACATGAGGCAGATTGACGAAGCCTTACAAGGATATTTCTCAGTCAACATTTGTGTGAAGCCTAATAAAGGCTATGGGCGCAAGTACATAGGTAGGAACAGCCCACACACGGTAGCACTGTCTATAACTCTGTAGTCAGGAAAGATATCTGCTAAAATTTCTAAACAATTAAAGAATGTATTTCGTGTATTAAGTGAACTGAAAGAATGAGTTGATTGGTTTATCCTGTCATTGAACATGTAAATATTTAGTTAAATATAGCGCAACATACGGCAAATAAATAGTTCTAAATATACTCTTCATAAAAAACTTACCGCTGTATTGCACAAACTATATTCGTGGGCTTTAGTACCAAAGCGAATGTAACGGCATAGCACATCAATATACCAGCGAGTAGAATGTAGCTAAGCTCTCGACCAGAGGCGCGTACGATAGGCGTATCATTGTGGCTATCAAAGAAGAATGAAAGAAATAATGCGGTTAACGAGGCATAAATGCGATAACGAGAATTTATACAATGTTGAAAATTCAATGGAAAATCGAAATACACGAAAAATATAAATGCACAAAAATAGGAAAAAAAAAATCGTTCAGAAGTGCATTCAATTTTCACAATTCCATTTTAAAATATTTTTATTTTTTTATTTTTATCTTCAACTTCAGCAAACAGTGTAGCGCGTGGCACTACAGCGACATTCAAAGCTATATATACATAGATTCTTACTGCTTTTGTAGCAAATTTTTTTAATCTCTTTTTATTTTTATTTTTTTTTAAGAAAGTCAACTCAATACAAGTCTGGGTCATTCATTTCTATTTGCTGCCAAATGGGCAGCGCAACAGTCGAAAAATTAAGTGGCTAAATTAATGACGTTTTCTTTTCTACCGAAAAATTTTGCCTTCTCAGTGCCCTCTACGTAAAAATGCTAAGCAGGGGGCAATGACAAAGTTACAAAAATTTTCGAGTCTTGTAAAACATGTAGATATGAATGTATGTATATAAGTACATTAAACAAATAGTTAAAAGAAAAGTGAAATGAAAAACAAACAAAGTAGCTTCCGTTGACTTCGTTCAAAAAAATAAATAAATAAATAAAAACAACAGCAAAAGCAATCAATCGCTGACATTCGACACTTGCCAATCGACACGAAAAGTTCAATCAAGCTAAGGGTCGGATATACATACATATACATACATATACGAAAGTATTCGCACATACAAAGACCGAAACATATTTGGGTGATTCACAAGGTGTCATAACATTCATATCGTCATATTAAGAATAGATTGGCGATCCTCACCCTTCTTTCTTTGTTTTCTTTTTGATGTTAATTCAATGGTAGTATGCACTTCTAACCAGAATACCACAGCGACGCACAGTTGTTCAAAATTGGCATTTTGTGTTCACAATTCACTGGAGCCTTCATTTTTCACTCAATTTGATATATTTATATATTTTTTTTTTTAAATAAAAGCTAACAAAATTTTCAAGAGACCAGTTGAGCCCGATTTTTGAATTTTTGTTTGTATTAAATTTTTTAGTACCAAGTGCCGAAAAAGTAGCAATTTTGTAGAAAATCAATTCTTCTGTTCCAGCTAATAACTATTGCATACATGATATAAACTAGTTTAAAACAATTTTAGGGTTCTCTCAAAACGGGAGAAGAACTTTGAAATGTTATAAAAAAATGTTCAAAAAAATTAATTTATTTTTTTGGTTTCTATAAAAATTTTGGGTATTCAGCTTTATAGATCATTAAATTTTAGAATAATAAAGTGCAAGTTGCAAGTGGCTTAGAGTTCGCGTTGATTTTTAATAATATAACAAACGCTTTTATTTCCCATTTAGCATGCAGATGCGCTCGAAATATTACCGAAAAAAAAAATTATTAAAAATCAACGCGAACTCTTTGCCACTTGCAAATTGCACTTTATTATACTAAAATTGAATGATCTGCATACCTAAAACTTTTCCAGAAACTAAATTTCATTTATTAATTTTGGTGAAATTATTTTTTATAACATTTAAAATTTTTCTTGCGAAAATTTTTTTGTTTAGGGGGAACCGTACAATTGTTTTCAGGAGAATCGATTTTCTTGAAAATTGCTACTTGTTCCGCACTTTGAAATAAAAAATTTAATATAAACAAACCAAAATTCAAAGATCGGGCTCAACCGGTTAGCCTTCATTTAATAAATAATAATCTCATTGAGTGAAAAATGAAGGATCCCGTGAATTAGGAACACAAAATGCCAAATTTAAACCACTGTGCATCGGTCGCCATATTGTCATATGGTCATAAATTCATTAATTTTAAAACGTTTAAACTTGTCTTGTAGCTGCTATGAATCACTAAAAAATGTTTTTAACCTTTATAAGATTTACGATATTACCACCATGTGAATCACCCAATTCATTGATTTTATGGCAAACTTACCGCACAAAAACACCGACAACAAAAAGCGTCACTAAAATACCAGTGGCACTGAATGCCATTGCACCAATCGCCCAGGCGGATTCGTGCCGCAAGTATACTTCCGGTATTGTCTGGCAGAATTGTTTGGTGGCATCGGGCAGAGTGCCCAACTGGCAAGTCAGGCACTGAGTCTCATCGAGCGGATGGCGTATCTATGCGAGGAAAAAAACACAAAAACAAAAAATAGAAAGCAAGGATGTGTAATGAATAGAGCTGCTTAAGTGGTTAGTAGAACGTAGAATTAGTATGGATGTATACATATATGTAGAACAAGGCAAGTGTGCAGCTGTACAATGGATTTCTTGTGTCGCGAATTTATAGCGTTTCGTGGCAGCAGAGCAGAGCAAAATATTTATCTTATTTAACCAAAATGTATTTGATTGATTTACGTCGAGTGGTTCAATAGCGTAAAAATAATATTTTTTTTGCTAAAATGTTTAAATTTCTGGTACTCAATTTAAATTGGCGTTGAATTAGCGACGAATTTATACATGTATGTACATTAAGGTAGTCCAAAAATACATGTGAAAAAGTAAAGTTCTAATTTTTATGCTCTCACCCGCTGGAATTTTTCTATACACCTATTTTTTTTATTTTGAAACCAAAAAAAATATTTACATAGAAGTGGCTCAAAGCACTCAAAGTTTTCCATGTTTTTATATGTTAAAAAAAAATAACTTTTCGTGGAAGTGGTATAAAATTCTTGAAAATCAATAAACCCAAAAAACCCTGAAATGGGCGAACCAATAAAAAATTTTTTGCATTAAAAAAAGGTTAAATAAACAAGGAAATATTAAAAAAAAAATTCAAGACAAAAATTTTCACAAACGAACTTTTTGATAAAAAAAATACTTTTTGAAAATATACCATCTCAAAAAAAATTTAAAAAATCACAATGGTAGCTCTGAGTATTGCGCAATATTTAAATGTAGCATTATTGGGTGCACTCAAAAATAATTAAAATAATTTTTTTTTACACCGAAAATTTATAAATTTATTTATTTGGGATTATTATGCCGTTTTGCAGCCCATTAAATTTTAGTGCAATAAAGTGCAAGTTTTAAGCCACTGCTGACGGCTTTTTGCACTTTTCTTATGGAAGAAAATGCGCAAAACCGTTTTAAAAGAAAATTTAAAAAAAATGAACGGCAGTTTTGCAATCGCTTAAAACTTGCATTTTATTATGCTACGTAAATGCATGTTAAAAAAAATTTAAAAAATTTGTAATTTTACTCAACTTCGGTGTAAAAAAATTCATAACTCTAATTATTTTAGAGTGCACCCCATAATACTATACTTAAATATTGCGCAATGCTCAGAGCTACCATTGTAATTTTTTTTGAGATGGCATATTTTCAAAAACTATTTTTTTTTTTATCAAAAAATTTGTGTCAAACATTTTTCAAGATTTTTTTTTGTTTTAATGCTTTTCATATAGAATTTTGATGTGTGCATGTGTGATTTTTTTCAAATTTTTTCCTCGCCCCTTTCTCAAGATATTTGGAAAGTTATTAAATCGATTTGGTTTTGTTTTTGTGCTCTAAAGTTTTTTAAAAATAGCTTTGCGTAAGGCCGGTTTATGTTTACATTCCGAAAGATACCCTACAGTAGCCAAAAATATTCTCGAACTTAGCAGCTTATAAAAGCTTAGTTTTTATTAATCAAATAAATACTTAAAAGCTGAACACGTATATCCTATTACATCTATGTATGTATGTGGCAGCAGTTTAACCTTCGCCTATAAAAATTTCCAATAAAAGTAACTTCTTGGCATCGCATCTGTAACTAGAAATTATGCATGCGATTGCATTCTCGCCCTGCGCTGCATTTCATTTCTTTTAGCCAACAAATTCGCTCATTGGCAGCAAATTGCAAATGGAAGATTGAACATTGGATAGGAATTCCTTTTATTTCATCTAAGTTCAATGAGTGAATTGAATCCAATTTGCTGCAACATAATTTCTAAATCAAAATCCAATTTTCCAGACGCAGTTGGCTCACACAAACACACGCAGCGTACACAATCAAATACCGCGCATACAAATGCGCGTTTAAGTAAAAGCGTTTCTGTTATAAAACAAGCAAATCAATTACTCTACAAATCTTTTCAATTTATGTGCAAAAAATTCAATGCTTCCACCACACCACCCAGCTCGCTCTCAGCCCAAGTTGGGTTTGAGGTTGCTTCTGCCCCAAAGTATGTATGTATGTATATGTGTTTCCAAAGTGTTTTGCGTTTGTGTGCGTATGTGTGTGTATTTACTTTGATGACACGACACAACCACTGCTAGTTAGATGACAACTGTAAATTTGCTTGAGCTTACTTGATAGGTGGAACAATTGAAGCAGTGCCAACAGCAACTCTCACCCTCCACATACTTCTTGGCCTGTCCACGCTCGCAGGGCAAACTGCAAACGGACTCAGGTGGCTTTGGATGCAACAGCTTAAATTGGACTTCTGCAAAAGAGAGAGAGAAAAAAATAGAAAATCATAAAAAAGTTAGTAGCCATTTGTGCTGAAAAAGTGATCAAGTGTATGAAACAAGAATGCAGCGATGCATCTGCAGCAGCGGCGGCAGCAAGCGAATACATGTGTATCAGATAAGTTTACAAATGCAATGCGGTGCTGAGCAGAAAAAAGTGCATGTACGAGGTTGTAATCCGCAAACGTATAACACAGCACTTGAAACGCTGAAATGTAGGAGCATAAAACAAATTGAAAGCTGCTGAAAGCTAACAAACCAGATAAGTGAATTGGTGGTACAAGAATACGAATGGAGACAAGTAAGAGACAATGAGGTGCATACATATGTACATAGCAGAAGATGCTATGAATGTAAGTATGTGTAAAACATAAATTTTACAAAGTAAAAGGAACTGTTGCTTTGAAACTCGGTTTCATACTAAGACTGTATGCATGGGTAAATGCAATTCTTGTTTTGTATTTCTTGAATATTTGGCTGGAAAATGTATGCGTATTTCTACTACTAGCACAAAAACAGGATATTTTCTATGAATTTTGATTAGAATGCTATTGTTCAGCATCTGGCGCGTGTTAGACCAACACATACATACCTAGGATATAAAAAGCTGTTGTCAAAATGAAATTTTTATTTTCTTTTCAATACACAAAATGGAAAAAATTAGTATTGCATGAACTCCTTCGCTAGCAAGGATACTCGGATGAGATATTCACCTAAGTGAGCAGTAAGTTCGATGGAAACATTTGTACATACTACAAAGAAGCGTTTGACTACCGTGCCAGTTTATGGTTGAAAATAAAGCTCAAACAAACAGTCATTATAGCATTCACTAGAAGAAGAGCCCTGCTGGGCGTAAGGAACTTAAATCTGAATAAGCTGTCTGGTTAGTTTCGCCAGCGAAGTGACGTTTATGGAAATAATCAGTTTCAGTGCTACAACACAATACCTGGGGTTGCAGTCCTACGATTCAAAAATTACCGTACACCATGAGAGTACTACACTGGACGACAGTCAATTTTACAAAAAAAAAATAAAAATACTGATTATACTTGTGAAACTAGGAAACAAATATAGTAAAATTGCGTTTTTAGTTTTTCTCTCTGACATTGCGACCAGAAACCTGGCAGATATACTATTTTCAGAGACAGCTCCAGTGTGGCCCCTGCATAGATAGAAAAGCAGGTCGACAACTTCAGAAGGAGAACCAAAAACCCAAGTGCCTGTACCGAGTATATTTCGGCCGAAAGATGAAACAACGAAATGAGACAGCGGACAATCTTTGAAGTAGCCAACAATCCAATCGACCCGAGCCCGAGAATAACGCATTGAGAGAACTAAATGGGCGACCAAAATGAGCGAAGTTCATCGGGACTGTGCCAGACCTTTAATCAGCCTTTCAAAGGAGAACAGTAGAAATAAACATCTGTACATATGCATAATAAAATTTAAATAGGCTGATGATTGTGTATTACAGATTTTAAAGAATAATTAATATGGGTGGACTTTATTAGATCAACAGAAGCCAAAACAAAAATGTTTATGTTCACTGAAAAACGAATGCATGGAATCGAATGCAGTTTTCACCGATGTTTTGCCAGCAAAAAAATAGAAGAAACAATTTAGAGACTTTAGAGAGACCTGTTTGAAAATTTCAGTTTAAGTAAATTGATAAGCTGGAGCAAATATTGATATAGGGCTGTCAACAGAAAGACGTTGGGGAAGGCTTACAGCCGAAAACACTTTTATGAAAAAGGCTGCCACCTGTTTGAAAATTTTAACGTAATTTAATTTATATAATAAATTTAATTTATATCATAAATTAAATATTGCAATATGGGCATCAAACTGAAGAAGCTGAGAAAATTTTACTACAGAAAACATTTTTGACTGGGGTTGCCAACAGCGTGAAAAATTTCATTCAATCAAATTGATGAAATAAATGAAATATTTAAATACTATATGGGTATCAAAATAAAGGGTTTTAAGAAAGTTTACTGTCGAAAATATTTTTGAAGCGGGTTGCCACCTATTTGAAAAATTTAACTCAGTTAAATTGATAAGATAAGCTAAATATTACAATATGGGTGTCAAACGAAAGTGTTTGAGTAATCTTTGATTTAGAAATAACTTCAACTAGGAAATTAGCCGCTTACTTCGCAACACCTTCAAAGAATTTTTGTTTTGTTACTCCATCTCACAGCATCTAAAAATATTAGTTGATACTCCCTTTTTAAAGTATTTGTAAAGTAGGCAGCTATTTTCAAATTACAAAAATGGAAGATAAATACATATACATATTTGAATATTTTTTTAGACAAATATTGAATTAATACACCTTTGAAGAAAGTGCTCTATTTAAAGACACGAGTTGTAAGATTATAAATAAAATTTCCATGAAAAAGCTCATATTTTACCTACTTTCCAAATATCTTCAAAAATACATTAGCTAACGCCCACATTCATAAAAAAAAATAAAGAATTCTTCATAAATCGAGATATTGTTTGAAAATCTCACTTCATAAAGCTCTTTAATTAAGCCTATTTTATTTTTATGAATGAGGCCATAAGAGCTTTGGGAGGAAGTAACAACACAAAAATACTTCTAAGGCGATTTCTGTCGATTCGAGGCTCGACTTTGACTGCAATATTACCGCATACCTGACATATTCAACCGCAACTCGCCCTCGTAGTATTCACCCACTTTTACCCAGTGGTAAAGACCCGCCTCTGACTGCTTGAAATGAATGATGTTGTAGCGAGCGGGGCCGTCACCATTCACATCGAAGCGAAAGTGATCACCGCTAAGACCTAAGAAAAACAATTACACAATTATTTTATGATTAACATATGTATTTTATATTATTAAATTATTTCTCTATAGCACTGGCAGTAGTCCGATTTTTTCACTTTAATTCCTACTCAAATTTCAACATATGTATTTCTTCATGGATAATCTGTTGTTTATTTTCTAATTTATCCTTTTAAATATATTTCATAAGCCAATTACTCACATACAGTTTTTGTACACATAAATATGCACACTAGGGTGACCCTTAAATGTATGAAGCTAATTTTTACTTCAGATTTCCTAAGCCTCAACCTCTACGTCGATGCTACTAAAGTCGAAGATATCACATATACATTTTGGTCTCGTATGGAGACGGTTAAGGCGAGTCGCACAGGGGTCAAAATTCAGATTACCCTATGAAGACGTCTTAACCGACTCCAATTGGGACCAAATTTTTTATGTGATATCTTCGACTGTAGTAGTATCGATTTTGGGTATTAAATGAGAAAAAAAATATTTTTAATTTTTTTAGTTTGCATGGAGCATCTGGCCTTGGACCCCATTGCGATACGCCTCAATCGACTCCAAACGGGACCAACATTTGTATATGATATCTGTGTGTGACCGCCATGCCGATTGAAGGGGTGAGACTGAAAAAAATCGCTTATTTGGTTTTAAGGGCCACCCTAATGTACACATGTACATATCTTCCTAATACCCTGCACTACTTTACGGCTTAAAAGTTATGAAACGCGCAAATTTTTGAAAAATTGCCAAAAGAACCGCGAGCGGGCTCAGAGGATCGTCATAAGTTCTGACGACAATTTTTCATTCGCCACTACGCATTTGATTATTAGCCTTTCCTTTGACGAGCGAAATCCGCAACCCTTTTCCAACTTTTCAACACTTAATGCGTCTATTTATTTTCATCACTGCCAATTTTCTTTATCAGCAAGCACGCCATGCACAATCGGCAATCAGCTGAAAGCCAACAGCCGCAAGCAACAAGAAATTTACTTAAAAGGATAAAAGCGTAAAAATGGGGAAGCCAACCGATATCTAAACACAGCAGTAGCACAACACTTTGCATTCTTTGTGCGCGGCTGTGGCATTCGTTACACATTTACTTATTTTTGTTGGTGTTATATTTAAGCTTCAGCTTCACCGCTTTATATACATATATATTTTATCTCAGTGCTTGCAGAAGTTCAGCGGTTATTTGGCCCCTTTCCAAACGGACGAACAACGGTTTCTTCATTTTTGTTTGCCACCGCTCCCTCCACCTTTCTCTTTAGCTCCCGCTCGCTGTGTCCTTATCATTATAAAATAATTTATTGAGTTTCATTTTCAATTGAATGAAAACAGCTATGGCTGCTGCGCTCATGTTGCTGCTCGTAGTAGTTGAGCTGCTGGCTTGCTGTGGGAATTTGAGCAACGAGCGCGGCAACAAAGCCAATTTTACACTTGAGTGCTTCAATGTGACAATGATAATGTCAGCGCAGCAGCAACAGCGGAGCAGCAACAGCGGAGCAGCAGCAGCAGCTGTTTGTGTCGCCTTGAACGCGCAACAATCAGGACAATGGCAACAACAGCTGCCAGCCAACACAGAGCTATTAGCGTACGTGCACTTCAGTGCATATGTGTGGGTAGAAGAATCCTTCTATACATATGTGTATGTGCCGGTACATATACACATACATACATATTTCGATGGAGGGAATAACTATTTAAGTGGCTGAAAATTGTTTTACACAACTTTCAGTTCTATGTTGTAGTCATAACTCAACCATTCTACCTGATTTAGTTAGTTAACGGCATTTATGTATGGCCTGCTACTTACCCTGAAATTGCACTTTTCGCAAGTATTTAAGTAAATCAGCGCCTTTGGTTGGTTTCATGGCATCACAAAGCGAAGGTCGACCTCCGCACAAATCGCGATGCATATCGCTGCAAGAAAAGAAAGGAAGAAGAAAGTGGTAAATGAAATTTTGTTTATTCGTTATTCGGTTGAGTGTTGGCTTTTTTGCTGCCAAGCTATTAAACGTACCGTAGCGCATATGCAAATGCCATTACTGCGTCGCTAACAAACTGCAACTGATCCTCAAAGTCGGTGTCCTTCGATAAGCGCTCGTTGGTTGTGCATGTGCGATTGTAGTTGTTGTATGGCGTGCTAGAACTACCCGGATAGCGACACTGGAAGTGGTCTTCCCAGAATTCTGTGAACGCAAGCAGAGTAGGTACGCACATAAATTATAGCACTAATGGCAAATTGATTACGGAAATTTTTGTATGAGTTTGCTCTCTTATTATGTGGCAAATATTTGCTTTTGCCATAATAAGGAACAACATTTTGTTGGAAAAACTGAAAGCAGCATTGAGTTTAAAATAATATTTGCCCATAAATCCTGTGCTGTACTCACCTACGAACCACGGATTTCGTTGATTGTTCTCCACCGTTAAATTCAGAAAATATTCTTCGAATCCTTTCACGGGATTTGCTTGTGGCTGCACGGATAAAGTGCCTTCCACCTATAAGAGATATGTGGAGATATGTATATTCATATGTTGGCATTGATTTTGTAAGCTTTAAGTGTTGGTTTAAAAATTCGCTCAAAATTTAATTTATTTTATCGCCTTTTGCGTGCCAAACAATTATAATTATTTCTTGGCCATTTGAGATTTAGGAGCAGTTCTCAACTTCTGCATGTGTCACTATGATTTTCATGCTAATTTTCGACAACAATTAATTTCAATTATCTTGTCATTAATCATATAAATTATACATAAACATACATACATATTTATAAATGGACACACATAAATATATAGAGCTCATAACCATACATACATATATGCCTGTAAGCGGGCGCAGGCATGACGCGTCGTAGAGGAAAATTATTGGCTGTGGGGTTGAATTGTGATTTTGCATAGCTTTACCATATTTCACTTTGTTATATTTAATTATAACGCACATAAATAGTAGATATGTATATATGTTTACATATGTATGTTTATAATCGTTGAACTATGTATGTATGTATATTTGTGAAGATTCAGTAGATGACCACATTTGCGGACGTAATTGCTATTGAAGTTTTAAATATATTTTCGATAGTCCTTGGCTACCTTATCTCAAGTGTTTCGAGAGCCATCGATTCAAATATTTATTGAAGGGCGCAAAGATCAAAATTTTTAAAAATATCTACATTGTTAGCAGCTAAGAGTTAAGACAAAAAATCATGTTTGGCTGAGTTAGTATGAAGTTAAGATAGTTCATTGAGTTAAGATAGTTCACCGCACGGCTCTCAAGAGAATATTGATTGATGGCTCTCGGGCCAGTTGAGATAAAGTAGTTGCTATTTGTTGATTAAGCGTATACCGGTTTAACTGTACCCCGCTAGCTAAACAGGTGTAAATACGAACTTTGCTCAGGTTTATTGATCTTTCTGGAGAATTTAGATGGCATGCATTTAACCACTAGATTTTAATAGTTATTGTGATCGTAATTAAAATCGTTATTTTTATCACAATCTTGGTTGTAAGCGTAATCATAGTTAATCGGAATCGTAGTCGTTATGGTAATCATACTCATTCACGTAATCATAATCATAGGTATAGTAATGGTAATTGCAAAGATAATTGTAATTGTAATGGTAGCATTAAATGTAATGGTACTGATAGTTGTAGTGTTAAAAGTAATCGTATATGTAGACGTAATCGTAATGATAATTGAAACGGTAGTGGTAATGATAATGGTAACGCTAATGGTAACGGTAATGGCGATTGTAATGCTAATGTTAATAGTAATGGTAATGGTATTAGTAACGGTAATGGTAAATGTACTGATAATGTTAATGGTAATGGTTGTGATATGGTAATTATAATGGCTATGGTAATGGCACACGTAATCTTTATGATAATGGTTGTAGTTATGGTAATGGTAACACTACCATAACTGTTAATGGTAATCGTAGATGCAATCGTAATGGTATGGTAGCGGTAATGGTTATGTTAATGGTAAGAGTAATCTTAGCTGTACTCGTAATGATAATGGTAATCGTTACCGACCTATGTCTCTTAACCGCTCATTTTCGTGTATTCATAAGAAACGTTGGTTAAAACGGTACTACATTTGCGAGTTGCTCAACGAATAATTTACGCTGACAGCTCCCTTGCAACGCCCAAATTCACAACTCTATCAGCTTATCCATATTCATACACTAAGTAATGTAAAGTATATACATGTGTATGTATGTGCATACGCATGTGTAAGTACATACTCTAACACTTATAAAATGCTTGCATGTTTCTACGTATTTGTAAAACCAACAACTCTGCTTAGTTGGTTTAGCGCCGACAGCAATTCATTAATCAATTTGTCCCTTACACAACCACAACCGCATAACTTTATGCACCCACTCGCACTCACACGCCATCACACTATTCACGCTGCCTTCAATTAGAGGAGCGGATCAGGGACATAGCATAAAAAAGCATTATGTAATGCATGAGCTCATGAGATTGTAGCGAGTACGGAAATTATGTATTTTTCTGCTTTTGTATCATTTGTTTTGCTAATGGAATGTACAGTTGTCCACAAAATAATAGGAGTGCGATATTTTGACCAGTTTTGGCTATTTGTCTTTTGTTTATTTAATGTTTATTATTTTTTTTATAAAAGCCTAGCTGGCTATACAACAAACACTATATAAATTCAGATTTTAAACTTTGTATAAAAATTATAAAAATTTTGCAATTTTTCACCCAAATTTTAAACTTTTTAATCAGAATCTTTAGAAAAAATTCTGGTATGCAGTTTTGTAGCACATTCAATTCTAGTCTGAAGAAGTGCAAGTTTCAAGCGGCTAAAAAATTCCGTTGATTTTTGAGAATTTTTTTGGTTAAAGGTGTTTCACGTTTTTTCCATACAAAGTATGTCGACAATTTTCTTTTATATGGAGGACACTGCCAGCAAAAAAATTGCCAAAAATCAACGGAATTTTTTAGCCGCTTGAAACTTGCACTTCTTCAGACTAGAATTGAATGTGCTACAAAACTGCATACCAGAATTTTTTTTAAAGATTCTGATTAAAAAGTTTGAAATTTGGGTGAAAAATTGCAAAATTTTTATAATTTTTATACAAAGTTTAAAATCTGAATTTATATGGTGTTTGTTGTATAGCCAGCTAGGCTTTTATAAAAAAATAATAAACATTAAATAAACAAAAGACAAATAGCCAAAACTGGTCAAAATATCGCACTCCTATTATTTTGTGGACAACTGTACACCCCACAGCAATAATTTGCATTTATGTATGTATGTAAATTAGCGTGGTTCAAAAATGCATGGGAAAAAGTAGAGTCGGCATTTGTATGCTCTCACCGCCTAGGATTAAATGTAACCCTATTTTTTTATTTTGAAATCAAAAAAATATATAGAGGCCGCTCAATGCGCTCAAATTTTTTCACGTGTTTTATATGGGAAAAAAGACTTTCCGTAGATTTATTCAAAATCAATATTTTTCGATCGCAAAACTCTGCTTCTTTGCAAGGAGATTCGCAATAATAATATCCAATTGTTTATTTAACCATTTGTTCATAGCAACTATCTTTTATAGGTCCGCCAAAACCCCCAGAAAATACAATTGGTGGGGGGGTCGGGTCCTAAAAAATCTTTAGATTTAAAAATGGTTAAATAAACAATTGAGTATTGTTATTATAAGTCCCCTGAACAGAACCAGACTTTTCTGATCGAAAAATGTTGATTTTCAAGAATTCCATACTACTACCAAAACAATTTTTTTCCCTTATAAAATATATGAAACACTTTGAGCGCTTTGAGCTACCTATAAATATTTTTTGATTTCAAAATTAAAAATAGAGGTGAGAGCAATAAAATTCCGACTTAACCTATTTTGGACTACCCTAATGTACATGAATATGCTTGCTCCTCGTTGCCGTCGCGCTCTTGACTAAATAGTGCTTACCATTATAAGTGGTCATTTCCGGACCGTCTACCCATTTATGCATTTATAATTATGAGCACGCATTTTATGCTTTTGCTGCTCATTCACCATACAAATTACTCACCTCCGGTTCATTGCCGTCGGATACCAGGTTGCGCGCACTCCAACCATCCGAGCCGATCCATGAAAATGCCCCAGTCGCATTATTGCGCCGCACAGCGCGCATTACCTCACGCACTTCCTGATCGGAGCCGAATATGATGGCACCTGCAAGGGGAAAAGGAAAGTAGAAATATCAAATAATAGAGAAGTTATATTACAGAGGCGATGGGCGCATAAAGTAGTTCTTAGTTACTTAATTTCGCTTACAGTATACAAAGTGGTAAAAGGCCGAAAAGGGGTTTTGACGAATTTACGTTTGAGGAATTAATAAAAATAATTGCCTTGCAATCTCATAGGGTTTCAGGTAAAAAAATAGAATAGAATTTTTGTTGATACTTTTCTGTTGCAATGCGGCGCCCGTACAATGTGCATTCTTATCAGAAATTAGATCTAAACTGGTAGTTTTTTACGGAAGTTTTGCGGATTTTTTTTTTGCAGAAGTGTACATTTTTCTACAAAAGCGACTTTAACTAGATTTCGTCGCAATGCGTTCTATTTTTTAGCAATATTGCAACACACGCTCCTTATATCGAAAAAAAAGAAGAGAAGCATTTGAAGCCAAACAAAATGTACAAATTTGTTCAAGGCGATAAACTTTTGCTGCAGCTTCGTTTCTCAGCATGCGAACTGACTTTATAAAAAGCTCCATAGAATGCAGGAGAACTAGTTGTCAATGGCGACACAGCACAAACACGCTTTGCCTAAGTTGTGTGGCTTTACATAAATCAGATGTTTTTCCCTTGGCGAACAGCCTGTTGAAATTCACAAATCGCTTTGGCGTACTTTCGTCGGCTTGCGTTAGAACGATGCCAAAAAAGCGGCGCATATTTAAGGGCGCATTTTCGCTTGGCTGCATACTGCTGCTCCAAAAATGCTGCCACATTTGTGTGCCACGAAGCGTCAAATTTAGGCTTCTATAAAAAAAAAAGGAATTTCTAATGTTATGCTCGCGCGTGTAAGCCAAAAGTGTGTCAAGAAAATTTAGCTTTCTACCTTTTCGACGACTAAACAGTGCGCTTTCTTGCGATTTGCAACCCATCAAGCCAGGAAGTGGGTTAACTATGTTACGCTTGAAATGTGAATGTGCTAGCCGGAAAGAGGTGTTGATGGCACATGAAAAGTGTGTGACACATGTGCTTGATGGCTATCAACTTTGGCTTCGGGCGCAAAATATGGCCTACTTCTTGGCACTCTGCAACGACAAATATGTATGTATTTATATACAAAGTTGTATGGAGGTAAGAAAATTCAGTAAGTGGATGAAATTTGTGAAGTAGAGAAATCAAAAAGAAAAAAACGATAAATACTTTGCGTTTAAAAATGTATCTTATATTGCTTCGAATACTTGCGAACTAAAGGTAGGAAATTTTCAACTTGAAAGTCTTTGAAAGTGTACATATGCCAGCAGTGTTTTTTTTGCAATCAGAGACTTCAAAATGAGTCATAACTTTTAAGCTTTATGCATTCTATGGGGAAACTTTAAAGCAATTTGCGAAATTACCGCCTTTGTAGAGAGTTATTGGAAACTTTGCATCACCTTTCCTTCTTCGGCCTACAATCAAGCAATAAAAAAGATTGCCTTTCTGCTGAACCGCGCTCCACAATAATTTCCTGCAGGTGGCACACATTCTTATGTCGATTGTAAATTTCAACCCGCACACAGTCTCTGCGGCATGAAGAGCATTGTAATTATTATCAATCATACGCCCCAGTGAACCTTTATCGAACTTTTACCTTTAACCTTTTTAGTGTTACCTGCGCTTTTGGCTTGATTCTTAAAGCCATATGTTTCGTGCATACATATTTGTACGAAAAAGGAAGTGATAATCGAAAAAATTGGAGCCAGAGATATGTATGTAGTCAATCAAAAAAGGGTAAATGCGCGAAAATGAAATAAAAAAAGGAGCTAGAGGGCTAATTTTTCAACATAAATCAACATCAAGCTGTTAAAAGTCAAGCCGCGTGTGGAGGTGGCAACAAGGTGGCAGAAAAGTCTGTGCGTTCATATCGATGTACTTTCACCGTATTCGTACATTTATATTTTTACGTTTGAACCCTTTTGCGCGCTACGCTTTATTACATATCTGTATACAAAGGCAAAGATTTCAAATTACTTGAGGCTGGAGGCGCATTAGAGAAATAATAAATGAGTACAATGCGTGCTACAACTAAAATAAAATCCTTTCTTACCTAGATGATTAAATTACTAAAATCCGACTCCAGGGATTTTATGCAAACAAATTGATATTGATACCCAATATTGCTGGACATCTTTCGGGATTAAGATATAAAGGCAAATAATTTAGAAAAAGCAGATGTTGCGATCCGAATTCAATATGAATTCGATATGTATAGATACAATCCCATGTTCAGGTAGCAATTTTTGTATTGTTTGTAAAAAGAGTTGCGAATTTTCGTGTAAAATGAAAACATAAAAAATATGCATTTTCAGTATTTTTAACCTTTTTATGGACTTAGAAAAAAATCATTAGTTATAAATCAATATCAAAATCTAAGCTGCTTAGCTTCTTCTACTCGCATTAATTTTAAAATTTCCTCTCTTAGGGCAGGTGAGAGTGACTCGCACAGCGCAGAATATGAAAGCAATACATTGTAATTCCACTGCCAGAAGCTCTCTCACCCTCAGTGCCGTTTTCTCATGTAGGTTTTAAAATTTAAACACACTTTTTCAGAACAAAATTTTCGTTTAAAATCAGATAAATCTTAAAACCTATTCGAGAAATTAGCTTTTAGTGGTTTAACCACCGAGTGGGTTCTATTTAGGACAGAATATTGAGAATATTCGCCGATTTCAGGTCTAAAAAGTACTGGTTGAAGAAGTGGTTGTGTGCCTTTTGGAAAGTGGCATAGAGAATGTTCGAACGCCGACTACTAAACTGGGAGAACAGCGGCCCAGCAGAGTGATAGCCATAGAACGTTTTACATAAATTTTTGGCCTAGTATCTAGGATGGCAGGCGATTTCTACGGCCCATTTGGCATCTACCTGTTCGACGAGTTCTGTATTTTCAAAAAGCTAGAGGTATTTATGTCGAAAACTTAAGGCAGAATTGACTTCGGATATATACGTCCCACTGCTTGCCAGCTAGGAAGGTCTCTGTGTTCGGGGACCCACAAAATAGTCAAGCAACATTTTGATGCCAGCAGGTTGAGAGTCTCTCTGTATTCAATAGCTACTTTGGACGTTGATCCGTTAGGCTTTAGATTGCCTGGCTGTCAGAATAAATAACGATATGGCGTTCTGGAGGGGCGGCGGTTGTTAGCCACTGATCTGTTGCTATTAAGGCATTTAGCTCTGCTGAGAAAACTGTACAATGTTCCGGTAAGCGAAAGCTGAGGTTTAACGCGAGTTCACTAGAACAAATCCCGGTACGCACTCTTTTATTTAGCTTGGAACCATCTGCCAGCTTCTCATGCGTTTCTCTCTAGGATTGTTGTCTAAACAGACTAGAGGAGTAGTATAATCTAGTTGTTGTAGGTTATCCAGTGAGTTAGAAGGACCTTTTCATGTCCGAATATGAGGTCTTTCCATAGCTGGAGCGCATTTAACCTTACTTTTGATTGCATTTTGTTTTTTTTTTTAATTTTTATTTTTTATTTTTTTACTTTCCCATTCATTACACGTATGTGTAAAATTTGCTACCGCTACTGTCTGCTCGCCGTATCTTCGATATTTTACAGTTGTCAAGAGTAGCAATTTTTCATGCTAGGACATTCTTTTTGTCATTGACATGACCAATTTGACTCACTCAATGCATGTCAGTCATACTAAAGGTAATAAATGGAATTTCTGATTTGCTTGGCATTTCTACTGAATTCATTTCAAATTTTACTTTCTTGCATTTTAAAACTAAGAGGTTGCTAGGTAAAAAAAGGAGAAAATACTGTGATTGAAATGAATGAGCAAACAAACGAATTGCAGATTCATTTACGACAAGTTTTATATGCGTTGCAGTGCGGGCGCGGAATGGTGTGAGGATATAAAATGATGAAGTGATTTGCGAGTGCAGACCTACATACATATGTACCCATGTATTTTCTTTTAAGCGTACGAATGCTATAGTTATTCTTTGAACATGAATAATAGTCAGAAAAAAAATATTATTTTTTTTTTGTATTTAATTTAATGCGAACTCACTTCGCATAGTAACAAACAAAAAAATTTCAATAAATGCCTTATCGTTGCCGCATTTGTTACTCAACTATGCTCTGATAAGTGATTCTGTTGCTTAAACGAATATAAAAAAACTGATATGTAGGCGTATGCAGGAAAGCACTGGCAAACATATGTATGTAGATGATTGTGAATGAATTGAAAGTGAATTTGAATGTGCTACTTTTTTACTTCTCATTTTTTGTTCAATGATTGGCCCTGATGCCAGCAGACATGTGTGAACGGAGCGCTTCAAAATTGATTTATTACACAAGGATTGAGTGTGAAAGGTTTTGAATTTAAAATTGGGTAAACGTGCGCATTATTTTTTTTTACTTTCCCATGTATACATACGTACACAGAATCTGATATATAAAAAGTGACTTTATTTTTTGTCAAAACAAAAAAAAAACTTTTGTGTGTGCTGTAAAACCTAAGTTAGGCCCAGCAGACCGGATAGAGTGCATAGACAAGTGAATAAAGCATGGAGAAGAAATTTAATATTTTTGGCGTACCCAACCAATTGAGTTTACTGCAATCTCAAGTGACATTCTTACTTAGCAATTTCGGTGCATTTTCATACCATTTTGTGGTTATCTGTTTTTCCCAGCTGTCCACTTTCTGACATAAATCATTTGCAAACATTTAGTGTTTTTCCATTCTTGTGTCTTAGTTTTTACTCTGCTTTTACAGTTATTTTTTCTTATGTACATACATATGCACGTTAGGGTGGTCTAAAAATACGCAGGAAAATCAACTTTTTGAAATTTTCACGCTGCCAACCCCCAGAACTTAAGAATACCGAAAATATTGACTACTGTTTTTTAATTTTGAAATCGGTTAATACTTAACCGTGCCACCGGGTCTTTGAAGTTTTCACTATATTATATTCAGGGAAAATACTTTTTGGCGTATAAATGCTACAAAATTGTTGAAATATATACTTTATGATCGAAAATGTATATTTCTCCAACCCAACCCAGCGAACAATTTTACAGGAATTTCAAAAATCTTAAAATTTGACTAACTATTTTTCACAACGTGCCTGAAAAACACTTTGAACCACTCTAATGTACCTACATACTTGCATATGTATGTGTGTGTATTTAAAATTTTCATTTTTCAATTTCTGACTTGTGAGTCTGCTGCCATGGTTGGCATGTTCTGACGCTTGGCTACTGCAAATTGTTGGTAATAGCGATTTTTTTTTAATTTTTCAACTCCTCTCACTGCTAAGAGCAACCAGGGATGGCACTTCCAACTCATTTATCAAGTCACATGCTGAGTCGTTTACTGTGTGCATTATTTATGTACATATATGTATATGCACTTTAGTATGTACATACGTACGTTTTATTAAGTATATTGCAAACCGTATGCACTTTTAGAATTAAATTTACCTAAAAATGGTTAAAGAATTTGTTTCTTGTCTGATTTTACTAAATAAAAGAAACTACTAGATCTTGCCGCTTTTGCACCACTAGACACAAGTTGCTCCGATACTTTGGAGCAGTGCATTTTCCTTTTACAACAACTTGCTAAAATTTGCATTCCGGCCAACATGTCGTATGAGCAACATTTATTGGATGTACATATCTGCACCTGCAATGCAAAAAGACGTAACAACTTCGCAGCTGAAATGGAAAAAGTCGTAACTAAAATTTTTTTTAAATATTTTTCATTAAATGATGTGGGAGTTGTTATTCGATGAAATTCATCATATCAATCAAAAACTGAATTTGAATTTTTTATTCGTTACAACTTTTTGAATTTCAGCGACGATGCTTCTTACGTCTTTTTGCATTTCAAATGGCGTTATGTACTATTCTCTTATGCACTAAACTTATATCACGTTTGAGTGCCTAAGCACCGAGGGCATTAAAAATCACTTTCAAGAGATTTATTATAGATATTGTCAGCTGGCTGTCTCACGTACAGCATACCTACTTATTCAAATATTCATAACCCAAGCGGTGTACGCTGGTGTCTGCCGCTGTGAAAGGCTAAGAAGTTTCGGCCGTAAAAATGAAATTAAAGCGCCATATTTCACTGAGAAAGAAAAGGAAACTAAAGCAGAATGGCACCTACTTGATGCAAATAAGCGCAATGGTTGTACAGTTCTAGAAAATAACGCAATTCTTTTGGGACAGTTATAAGCGTGCTTCACTTTGGAATAATTCAATGCGCTGCAAGCATGTTTCCCTCAACTTGCAAGTGGTTGAAGACAGTGTCAGAAGACTTGCATGTATTTGGAAATAAACTAGGCTAAGAAAGGAAGGAAAAAGTTGAAAGCCTAGCGTCTGGAATAGAACAGAATTTAAGCTATTATCAGATTGTGCTATCAAAAATTGCTGCTTCAAATTGGTTAGTAAGAAACACAAAAAATAAATGATTTATACTTATTGGGGGTTTTCACACTACTTGTGATTTTTCGCGCGTTTTTTGTCATGTTTGTTTTTTGAATGTCAGAAAAAATTTAAATATTTTTGTGAATGCCTAAAGCAGGTTATGGCTAATGACTGCGGTAAAACAGAATTTGTTTAAATTTGTTTTTTTTTTTCTACTATAGACTTTGGAACTTAAGCTTGTATTCCAAAAATTTAAAATTTTCCTACAAAATGAACTTAATTTTTTTCTTGTGTTAGCTTGCAGTAAATCACTAGTTATAACCGACAAAAATGTGCTTTCAACATTCCAGTAACAGTTTCAGTGCCCAGCATACGCTCCGCATCATCCTATCAGCATTATTTGTAGACATTCCCTTTTTATCGACCGACATGCTGCCACCCCACACTAGTCGCATTTCTAACATTGCTATAATTCTGTTTGCTTTCAAGCAGCTGTGATTGTTCATGAAACTTAAATGAGTCTTTTAAACTTGTTAGCCAACCCTCCGCCTCCGCCTTGTTGATGGCACAAAACTGCCAACAACTGGTCGTTTACAACAGCTTTTGCCAACTTTGGTCATTCAGCTCAATTCAGCGTCGTGTAAATCAAATAAACAAACGGTTGACTAAATGACTGAATAAGTGAATGAATGATTAAGAGTTCCAGCGAAAATCAGCATTCTAAATGCGTCATATGAGCGTGGATGCGAAAAGCGGTATTGGAATGTTGAACGCTACTCAAGTTTGAATGAAGCCCAGCTATGCACATTGATGTTGCGCTTTGAAAGCGTTTTTTTTTAGGCTTCGAACAAATTGCTAAATTAATTTGGTGGATAAAATATGCGCAATCATTCAATTTCAACTTGTGAATGCGAACGAATACTGAATTTACGCGTGGATAGTGGTCGAATAGATTACCAGCAGGCCTACATAGATACGTTGTATTCAAGGCTTTCTTAGAGCGTTTAAGAAGTGGAAAAGCAGGTTCGTTTTCGTTTTGTTTTTGGCGAAGAAAACTTACGCCCTGATATTCTTTATGATTCTGTTACGCTGATGGGAGGGTTTAGACTTGTTTTCCAGCGCATATGCCAGCTGAACCGAACGAATGACGAGCGTCAGCGAGCGAGAGTTTTTAGGCTAGCAAGCTAAGAGACGCGGAGAACTATTATTATATTTATATTCCAAATAGAAATTAACTGCAGTGAATTGTTGATAAATTTAATAATTTGCAAAAATTCTCGTCTGCAAAATATAATAAATTTCGAAAACGCTGAGCTCGCTCATACTTCTTAACAACTGCCATTCATCGTTCACACTTCCTTTGCAAGTCACTTCTGCTAACAGAGCTAAAATTTACTCACCTCGTGCACGTGGCTTTGTTAGCAGCTTTTGCACAATATTATCATATGCAATCTCCTCGGCGACACCGGAATCCTTGACAAGTTTCTCCTTGACAGCGATGCAGATATTATGACGTGACAAAAGCTCCTCCAACTCTTCGAAAGCCTGCATTAGAGGGAATAAATTAATGAATAGAATTTCAAAGTTCTAAAAAAGTAGAAAAACAGCAGTAGTAAGTAGGTGTGTATGTATGTATATGTGTTTCGAGTTATAGGTATGTGCAACTTAAGGTGTATAGCCCCACGCGCAAAACCCTAATTTTGTAAGGAAGCTGATCTGAAATGTATATTTTTTGGCCAATAAAGAGCTATGCGTGAGTAAATATTTTTTAAGTAAATATCTTAAGTTTCCAATTAACTTTAGGGACGCAAAAATTACAAAAAAAAAAGGCGAGACACGCAAACTTAATTTTGAGGCATAGACTATGGATATGTATATCGTTTTTTTAGATGGGGTCATTTTAATTTTTAGTTTGCATTGCCAATAAAGACAAATTCAAAGTTTAACATGAAAATGTTACTCATACGCCATGTAGGAGTGTGTTAGATTATCGCCATGTAGGAGTGTGTTAAGCAGTGTTTGCATTGTTCAACTTTGCGTTCAACATTTGCGTTCAACTCAACGCAGGGTTGCACGAAAAAAAAGTTGAATGGCAAAAGTTGGCTGGCGACCAACTTTGTTGAAAGCGATTAGTTGAAATTCCGTTCAACCATAAGTTGAATGCAAAGTTGAACAATGAAAACACCTTTTTATGGCGAATATTTTGATATTTTTTCATATCTTGATATTTTTAGCCCTTCAACTTTTTTTCGTGCAACCCTGCGCTGAGTTGAACGCAAATGTTGAATGCAAAGTTGAACAATGCAAACACACTTTTAGATTATCGCCATGTACGATATGGCGTATGAGCAATATTATTTCCTGCTTCTATTTCATACCAAAAATTATTGCACATTTTCAATTGACCATTCAAAAGTTGTTTATTTATCCATAGATTTTCATCGTTAGTAGCTTGATTTTTTCGCAAAAGTACAGGCTTTAATACAAATGGAAATAATTATAAAAAATGCTTTACCTTTTTTAGTTTTTCTTTGTTGAACTTAGAATTTTAAAAATGAAAATATTTTTGGAAAATGACCTGATACTGAAAAACGGTATCCACATCCATAATCTACGACCCGAAATTAACGGTACGTGCATCGGCGATTTTTTTCAGAAAAATTTCTCTTTGCCAAATTTTTTATTACAAAATACTTTTCGAACGCGGGCTTTGAACAAAAAACTAGTAGAATTTTTAGGTGAGTGCTCGAAAGTAAAAGCTGAACATAAATGTATGGTTTTTCAAAAAATGTAAAACAATGTGTGCTCATATTGAATTTAGCATGCATTTTTATGAATTTTTGAACTGAAATTACATACATGTATGTAAATTGGAAAGTATAAATTTTTGGCAATTAAAAAATTTAAATGAAAAAAGCTTTGGATTTTTTTGGTATAAATTGTTTTAAATCGGAAAGATATTTTTGGAATTTCAAAATTTTGCACATTTTTATTGGTGATTTAAAAATTAAAAAAAAAACTTTGTAGCTGCAAGATAAGACTTTTTGGTAATCTATATACCGGCTATAAAATTTATCCAATTTTCTAACTGCGCATACATCTTGGACTGTTGAGCACTGAACATAAATTTTTTGGTAGTTTGAAAAGTTGGAAATAATTTAACCTCGCTGTTTGTTCGGGTAAATAAATATTTTTTTTTTCATTTAAAAATAACTGGACATTACTTTTTTGGTAATTAAAAAATTGTACATTATTTCGTTCCGTTAGAACTAGACATATATTTTTGGTCATTTAACGGCTGGGCATATGCAGTTTTTGATTATTTAAGAACTTTAATGAACGATCACAAGTGGGCCAAATCTCAGATCTTTAAAATCTAAAAATATGGTCAGCGATTGTCGCAGAAAACAGCACACCAAAAAGTGGACCATTTTTTGAATAGTCATTGTCTCCTTTTTACTGTTCACATTTTATAACTACTTTTCAAAATAAAATAAAATCTTAACTTCTTGCAACCGGCAGTATTAGATGCGCAGTTGGTATATAACAAGTATTTGAATTCAAGTTTTGAAATTACCAAAATTTATGTTAATTTCAAAAATTACTAAAATTTATGCCTAATTTAAAAATTATCAAAAATTAATGTCTAGTTAAGAAATCGCCAAAAATTATGGCCATTGTTAGATTAAAAAAAAAAAAAAAAATACTTTTAGGCGCTCATATGTATTGCTGAATAATTTTTAATTATCTCTCGCGAACGAAACTGTCCACTTGCTGACATTTTATCATTAGCAGCAGCAGTATGTTGTACATATAAAAGTATGCAAAATAGACAGAAGTGCACTGAGAGCGCTCAAAAATACCTATAGAGTAATTAGTGGCCAACTCTGCTCGAGTGCTACGTTAAATTTAGCAGCCACTTTTAGAAGCGCTGGCAGCGAATGAACAGCAATTATGTAGTTAGAATAGCGCCGCACTGCAAGTCGAGATATTTACTATTCAAAAGGAACAGAATAGCAAAATGACAGCAGAATTATTTGTTGAAAGTGTTCAAAGTGGTCATTGGTGCAATTAGTGGAATTACAATACATTTTAAGTGTCGTCCACCGAAATTGGGCGAAATTGAGATAAAAGGTATCGGACCAGTTGGCAAAGTCATTGCTGCAAGCTCTCATTTCGAGTATATTTGCATTACACGACTGGCTTTGAAAAATTTAATTAAAACGTTAGTAGATAAACCAGGAAACAGCAGCAGCAAAACCTGTAGCTTTGCAACATTTTCGAGTCTTACATAGTAAGCTTTTCCTCTTTGCTTATAGCGAAATAAGTTTTCCTAAGAGTAAGATCCCACTCAAGTTTGCGCTATTTTGATTAAGTTCCACATTACAATTGGCAAATGTGTTGCGCTTACTTGCTGCGCGTGCGGAAATTAAAAGTTGTTAGTGTTGATATTACAACTTGGCGATTGTAGAATAAAATAGTCGTAATTAAGAAACTTGTAAACTTGCGCGCTTGCAGCATTTTTTTTACGCACATGTTACGTAGTTACGTATAATTGTACGCTAACGCTTCAACGCGCTTTTGTTTTACTTAACTTTTATGTAAATACATATACTTGCTCTCTGCCTTTGAGTGCATGTAAAACTTTTATTTCGCTTATTTTGCACTTACCTTTATGCCATAGTTGCTCTCCTCGTAAATTATGGAGACATAACTCCAACCCATGCGCTTCACAATATCCACCATCGCCTTGACTTGGTAGTGATCTGAGGGAATGGTACGCGAAAAATATTCGAAGCGTTGCTTGTTGCTCAACTCGGGACTGGTAGAGAAGAAAGATACCTGGAAGGAGGAAGAGGAGGTAGTCAAGAACCATGGCCAACTGGTAGTAATTTGTAAAATTGTATAAACAAATTGATTAACTTGAAGAAGTCGACATCGAAAGAAAAGTAGTCATTGATTGGATAACTTATTGTCGTTAAAACAAAAAAATAACAAAACAATGTTGAGCGGCAAATTTTGTTTTCAAATTATTAATAAAGTTACAAGCTAATTACACAAGCTGGCAGTAAATATAAACCATCTTTCTCTCAACTATCAGTATGCACTGAATTGCGGCTTACGTACTCTGATAAATATTTTCTTAACTTTTTCTTGACATTTAGCTAATTAATCTAAGAAAAAGCTTCTTAAAAAGGTCTCTTAAAAATATGTAAAGTTGAGTTATGTCCTTTTTCAAAACCTAATCCTTTTGGGAGAAAATTATACACTGCACCCGTATTCCTGGCATAGAAAGTCAGCTGTTTGCCGGTATGCCATAGCGATTTTAAAAATGAACGCAGTTTCACTCCACCATATTCAATGTTGGTTTAGAGTATGCTCGTAAGCCCAGTTAAATAGAAGGTGAAATTCTTATCATTGCTTTACTTTCACCATTTCACTCGTCACTCTGCGAAATGCAATAAATGCGGTACGCGTAAACTGTGGCACGGAATTCCGTTGATGAGAAAACTGGTGCAGATATGTGTTTTTGTTATTATATGTATTTACAAACCACAATTAATTTAATTGTTCTATTCACACATTTCTCTGCTATTGATTTGTTGCCAGCACTTTTGCACTATTCACTGGTCTGTCAGTTGTGCGCGAGGCATTCAATTAAGTCATAATTGAAATTTAATGTTTGAATACAAGTCGTTGTACACATACATACATACAAACACAACACACATAGGCCATTCTTGCTGGATGAAGCTGCAACTAGACAACAAACTTTCTAGTAGCCCACGATATGGGACTCATTGTTGTAGTCACAATAGGTCAAATTACATTATCATTTGCAAGATGACATTCTAAAGCAATGGAAAGAAAAAAATATTTTTCTTTTCATAAAAAAATTCCTCGGAATCCTCAAACATGTGTCTAAAACTGGTGGTTTTCAGAAATTATGAATGCTAGCAAATTAACTGAAATTCAAATAAACAAATCCGGAAATAGAAATATTGACAGCAGGGCTGCTAGGGTCACCCCTGACATTTGTGGATGCCTGTTAACGCGTTAACGCTGACTTACTGAGTTACATACATAAATATTGCAATTGAGATTGTGAAAGCACATGAAGTGGTTATTAGTGTTTTTTGCAGAATGTGGCCATATAGAGGAGACAAGTCAATCACATGCCAGAAATGCCTATAAGTTGTAGATAGGCAGAATAGTCGATGAAATCATCAGAGAAGAAAAACGCATATCAGATCCTTTTAACATTATCCCGAATGTTATAAGATATCCATTGAATAATAATACCTGGAATAACGATAGTTTATAGGGCCAGTCCCTTCCTTAGCTATAAACTCAAGCCTCAAAGATGATCAGAGTTATTTCTAAACCCCGGCAAACGGTTCACAACTAAATTATATTATGATTAAGGGGAATATTAAAAATTAATCAAGCTTGTAAAGAATTTTCGAACAATCAGTCTGTCTTCGTCAGTCTTCAAAGCAGTGGAAAGACTTTTACGTCTACAGTACACTTCAAGATGAAAGAAGAACGGAGTTTTCCAAGGCTCTCAAACAAATTTTCGGCTTCTTACTAGGACTTAGGACCATTTGTCATTTAGCTATCATTTGTAGAAGCTGTAGAGATAAACAAGATGTAGAATCTGTTTAGCACTTCTATGCAAGTAAATAGAGCACCGGAGAAAGCGCCTACAATTTCTGAGACAGCACCACGTCTCCGCCAACATTATTAAATTAGCGTTTGCTATTCTACTTAAATTCGATCGAAAATCAGAATTGTTAAAAGTAATGTGAGGCGGCCGCTGTGTTATGGTGTTCAACAGTGCACGCTGCCATTCCGCAGCTCCAGGGTTCAAGACCCGGTTCCGACTAACATAAAAAAATCAACAGAAATTGTTAGTTTTTTTTCTAATAGCGATCTATTATTATTAAAGCAATGTGGACACAGGTTTTGGCCAACGCAATGGTCGTCTTTGGCCTCTGAGTGAACTGTTAACTAGAACTCCTCGTCAATTGTCAAGAGGAGCTGAGCGCTGCTACGTCCTCTCAACACACAGCAAACTATGTCGGACGTTGTCATATCTACTCCCGAAGTGGGAATAAATAACTACCTCAGGAGCGCCTGTGTGAGTTGGTGGAGATTAGCTTGCCTCTTGACCTCTAATTTGTTTTTGTTTAGATTTTGATTTTTTTTTTTTTAGGTAAAATGTCTTCATGTTTTGTCACGACGGAAAATGGTTTTTGCTTGCAATAAAAAAAAATATTAATTTATTTAATAAAATGTGTACCTGTTCTTGTAAACACTAAAAATAAATGCAGTTTGTTTATTTTGGCCCTTTTTTAAATTCCTGAACGTCGGAGGGTTAAATGCAATTCCGAAAACTTCTATTTTAAAAGAAAGTTGTAACAGGACGCACGCATGGAAATGAATGTTAAAAATTTTAAATTCACAACCAGCAGCTGCATATAAGTGGAGTTTATAAAAATTAAAAAAAAAAAAAATAGTACGATCACTTAAGCATCCATAAACAACAGCGCGTGCATGCAATACCTTCAATGTCGGGCATTAACACCATGCGCATACACATACACATACACGCTCAGTCTACAAATAAAAAATTAATAGGGTTCATTCCCATAAACTCCCACACACTCCGTTTGATTTACAGTCGCCAGTTAGTGTCGGGGACGGAGCGCTTGAAGCCAGTTAACTTTTTGTCACTCTCATTCATATGTAGGTATATTCAATACAACAACAACTAATATGCATGAAAACATATACATATGTACATACATAAATGTGAGTGCGCCAGCTTTTATTCGATAGCATTTAAGCATCTTTATCATTTCTTGTTGCAGCATACTCAGCGTGACAGCATGTGATAAATTCCAAATTTTTATTTTACAATGTAGAGGTATGGCTCGAAAAGTAGATAGTTTTCGCAGATATTTGATGCGTTCAACATGGCGTTTGAGTGACCCTTAATAGAAATTTACGAGCATTCAAAGCATTGTGCATTTTATGCGGATGTGTGTGTGTGTGTGTGTGTGTCTGTATTGGTGATTGGTGTCAAAAAGCTACACTTTAAGCGTAAAAACGTTGCCATTGCCATATTTTATTTATGTATGTATATTCTTCCCTGTGTTTTCTTCTTTGTAGCGAAAATGTTGAACATTTTTATTACTTTGAAGCGTCGGTTATTTTACTTTTTTGCTGTTACTGTTCTTTGTACGCGGGTAGAAAAAGGATTAATGTTTTACATAAAAGCTGTTTATACGTGGGTACAAAATCTGTTTGTTTCGCCTTTTGCTGTTAAGATATTTTTAACGATGTTTCGCTGCTTAAATTTCTCTTTTTTCTTAACGAAAATTGTAAAGAATTTAGGCAAAAGAAAGGTACACGCTTTTTTTGTGCTGGTTATATTTTGGTTCTATCGCTTTCAATGGGTCATTTTGCAAAGATGTATTGAGCTCTTTTAAAACCTTAAATGCGTACCATTAGAAGTTTGGATTGACGCGTAGCAGGGAAAATAGCGGGGTAGTTGCTAATGTCTAGTTAAGAGAGCTGCAATAGTTTCGTTTTAGGGCCGGTTTTTCAATGTCTGTTCATCACTACCTCCCAGTTAAAGATCATTACCGACATTTTCGATTTGGGTTAACCGGGCATTGAACAAACGGCCCTTAGCGAGTTTTAAGTGATATTAAACTAACCTGAAAACTACAGTCCGCTCAGTATCAGACCCTCGACGGTGTTTGGAAACTCATGAAAAAATTGATTGGGTGCACCTATGCTACGCAAGTCTATCCGAGAAGCAGATGAGAAAGAGCAAGCTTCAGAGACTTACGAATGTGCCGCAGTTGCACGAAAGAACTGGTGAAAGTACACTCTATCAGGAACTCTCCGCAAATCACAAGTTTGGGCTGTCGAATCTCTGCAAAGTATCCAACACACTACGTGCTAGCGAAACACCGAGTAGAAGGCTAAAACTCTGCGGTGAAGTCCAAGCGGCTTATGGTGCGATCGAAGCTGGTCAAGCAATGGCTGTCATCTCTCTTGATTGCCTACGAATGCTTCTAAGGTGGGCTGATCGTGGCTTTCTCGAGGTGGTTTTCACTGACTGGGTGGGAATAGCAGTTGCCGTTTCAGCCTGCATTCTATGCCTAGATGGATGCGTTTTTAGTCGGCATGAACTGTTATTATATTATATTTTGCTAAGTATTTGGCCGAGCTTCTCCTGTAATTTGTGGTGTGCATCATGATGTTGGAACACTAATTGAGGGACCTACAATTTTATGCCGCCTCCAAATGCCAAATGGATTTTATGAGAAGCTTTTGCATGGCAAAAATGCACACGTAGGTTTGAAATTGCTTTCTGAGGCCCAACCGCTATATTAGAAGCTGCACCGAACAGGAATCGAAAAAATAAATAAAAATAAAATTCTTTGTAAATTTTTTTATTTGTGTTCTATCAAACTACTAATGAACAAAATTGATGGCTAAATAAGAGAGGAATGAGTGGTCAAATATAATAATAAGTATAAGTAATATTCTTTCCCGCTCATTTCTCATACAAAAAATATTTGTGCATTTTCATTTGACCACTCATTCCTTCTTAATTTATCCATCGATTTTGTTCATTAGTAGCTAGATTTTTTTTTTTGTAGCAGAATGGGCTTTTACGCACATGAAAAAAATTTACAAAGAATCTTATTTTTCCTCTGTTAAAGTCTGTTTTTTTTATTTGTACATAAAACAAAAAGAAAAATTCTGGAATGATTAATTAATTTTTCAGAAACTATCGGGCTTATCAAAAAGTGATGTTTATAAAGAATTTCATTAGCTTTCATTTTCAGTATCTCGTATTTCGATTATCCATTTTGTTCGTAAGATATACGTGATTAAGTGGAAACAATCTTTTTTCTTTTTAGCTGAATAACAGTATACTGAAGATATCTCGAAAACTTATTCATAGAAAAAAATTCGATTTTTGGAATCATTGAGCAATTCTTCATAGGAATTGCATGTGGTATCTGTAGAAGATATTTGCTTTAACCAGTGATGTCAGCACCTCCTGCCGAAGCCGAGAATTCAGCAGAATATAAAAATATTGCCGATTAATACGCACACCTAATCCGAAGCCGAATGTTCGGTCAGCCTCAAATATTCGGTGGTATTACGAAGGACAAAAAAAAAACAAAATAACCCCTCGCGGCTTCATAACATCTTTTGTAAAAACAAATTATTTTTTTAGAAAAAAATAAAACTGACTTCAATTCTCACATAAAAATTTAGGAGTACCCTTAATTTCTTCATGAGCCAAAGATCGGATCTAAGTCAGGTAGGACCTTTTCTTAAAAAAAAAGAATTATAGAAATCAGTTAATGTCATCCAAAGTTATGCGGTAACATACAAAAAAAAAATCCGACGAATTGATAACCTCCTCCTTCTTTTTTGAAGTCAGTTAAAATAGCAATTTTTATGTATTTCAAAAAATCTGCTGTTTTTTCTATTTTAGGCAAAAGTTATCTAAGATTCATCACAATATGGCGACTCAAGATTGTCTCTTCACTTTAACAAGTAAATGTAACCCTGATAACCGGATAACTTTATCCGAAATACCTTATAACTACCGAAAAAAAAACTGAAAGATAAGTTAGTCTGGGAAAAGCGATTCGTATAAGCTCAACTGAAATTTATTGAAATCGACTCAGATCGTTTATACTTCCTTGTCTCACTCCTGAACGCCAACTTTGAATGCCTCTTTAGATTTTGTATTATGAACTCACCTGTGGTATACGAAAAAGTCGCAGCAAATTGGCCACTTGTATAGAAGTCACCGATGAAGCAGCGCCCACCACACCCGAAATGACTTTACGCACTTGTGTTTTGTTGCAATGATATTCCGCATCGTCAATGTTGCTAATGGATCCTGTAATGAGAAGTCAAAGCAATGATACAGTCTCATTAGTGGCATGACGCGAAATAAGAAAACACTAGCGGTTCAATCAGTGCAAATATTTGATTGGACACAGCTAAATACAAAACTTAATTAAATTATACGCATGAATTCACACAGATACATTTCAACCGCAGATACATATTTAAATAAATTTGGTGCATATTAAATTATTTAGTTTTTCCTAGTGCCCTTGCGCTGGCGTTCGATAAACTGCCTTAAGCTGGTTAACAACCTTGAACTTGACATCAACGCAATACTTTATTTGCAAATAAATTTTTATTTATGTATACACACATATTTACTAACAAACGTGTGTACATATATGTATGTTACTTTCACATAGTAGTTGAACCAACTTTTTATATGCGTTCAAACTTTTCTGTTATCTCTGTTATGGTTTGTGAGTTCAGTTCGTTGTAGTTTTATTGCAGCTCGAGTGTTAATTCTCTTATTTTACTTATATGTACATATGTATTTATATGTAGTACATACAAACGTGGCGTAGAGTAAATTGTTTTATGTGAAACCACAAATGTAATTAAAAGTGCGCCCAGACACTATGAATTTAATTTGACATACCACAAATTTATATACTTGCGTACATACTAGGCATTAAGTGCATGTCTGTACCGATCTGGTTGGCCATTAATATGGAGTAGTGAAATTTATAAGCTTCGCCATAGGAAATTGGTGCACATGCAACGACCGACTCTGATTTCCCATTTGTATTTTAGGGCAAAGTGTTGCAGCCTTAGTGTCATTTAGCTTTAGTTACCACCCACAAAAACTCCTACATCAGCGCCGGTTTGTTGTTCGTACGCCACTTCCACTGCAGAATGGGTGGCGCGCTTGTTACCCATACGCCATGACCGTCCTTGTGACACTCTGACTTGTTACGCATACGCCAAGGGGTTCCTGTATACCCTCTGCCAATAAGGTTTGTTGCCGACAATTTATGCCTACTCTTCCTTTGCATTCCACATTCGCCACTGATGAATGCTACTTTCATTCTGACTTTTAATTACACTTTAGTGTTGCGTTATATTTCTTTTGAAGCATTAAATGCTTTACATTTGCCGTAAAATATGTTGCAAAAAAGAGAAAACCTTTCTGATTTCCTGTAGATGCCAACTGAAATGTGGCATGACCAACATTGAAGGCATTTTAGAGATGCGTACTGAAAAATGTGCTCCTTTCTTATTGTTTCCTTAATGAAAATTTTTGGAGAAGCATACTTATTTGGAAAATGGCTGGCCATTTCTATTTGCATATAAATATGTCTTCAGTACGGAAAAAGATCACAAGCCTTAGTTACACAGTGAAGCTTGAAATGAACGAAACCTTCAAAGAAAATTAGTTATGAGATAAAGAATATGCATTCACGGTATTAAGCTTGGTTTGCTAAAGAAATAGGCATAAAATAGTTGTCCTGCTAAAAGTTTCTTTTGAGAAAACTTTAATGCGACAAGAGTTTTGAAAGAGAACGAAAAATTACACTGAAGATGGCACAATGTCGAAGCCAGTTTGCCTCCAAACCAAATTTGAAAAGGGATGACGGCAAATCGTTCCACATACATTTTGGAAAAGACTTGATAACAATTTTTCCACATTGACATTTTACTTAGATCAAGGCTCTCTAAAGCGAGGTTTCACCTCCTTCAAGGTGCATTTCTTCGCAATATATGCTTATCTTCTACTCATAATTTTTCACCCAGAGTCAGTGATGATATATATATTAGGGCGGAGCAATTTAATTTGGAAAAAATTGTATGGCATATTCGAACTCAACGCTCAAATCTAAGCAAAAATGGTGAACAAACTATATACCGAAAAGGACTTTGGACCGTCCCAATTAAAAAAAAAAAAATATTTTATTATATTTTTCCGAACGAAATTAATTTTTCATTTATAAAATTTTGTGTTTATTTTTAACGACTCCCAAAAAAAGAGGAGGTTATCAGTTCATCGGAATTTTTTTTATGTATGTTTCTGCATATCTTTGGACCACGTCAAGCGATTTCGAAAATTCGTGCATCGGAGAGTTAGTGTCTCAGAGGTGGTCCCATACTAATCTGGTTTAGATCGGATCATTGGATCATGAAATATATATATGTAGATATATATATATTTTTTTAAGTCGGTTTTGTTTTTTTGACTAAAAATTACTTGTATACAATATACTGCTTTTCTTTTGTTCGCCATTTTCGCTTAGAATTAATCGTAGAATTTGAATTAGCTATATAATTTGTTCGACAATTTTGCTCCGAACAAATCACTCCGGCCTAATATATCTATTTGAAATATGTATGCATTTGTACCATAAGCTATGTGCATGTATGCAAGTCCACATAAGTTTTCGCACATACAGAGAAATGTTCAGGTAAAAGTTGTATGCCGTTTGTCCACATCGCTTATGGCGATATAAATGTGAGTGCAATGGGCATACTTACCTGTATGCATACAATTTAATCCTACAGTTGGCAGCTGGTAAAGCGAGCTTTTAGGCGCATAAATAGAAGACAAGTTTTAGGGTGCCTGTAGTGAAAATTTTTGTCACACCGGGGGTGAGGATTAAAATGATAGCTTGCCTGCTTCTTTGGATAACTAAAAACAATGAAAATGCATCCGGTAAAACCACTGAAATCCACAACATGTATCTGTTATTTGTTTTGTCATTTCGAATTTTAATAATGGAGGGAGAACTACCAAATGAAATTCGGATTTCGTAATTTTTACATTTCGATACTTAGTTTTCCCAAATGAAAATTCTAGAAAATTAAACTTAGGAATGGAATGTGAATATCAATTAAGCGCACTGCATTTCCATTTCAATTCTTAAGGATCAGTTTGAGGCTAAACTGTCCAAGTATAGACCTATTGCTAGTTTTTCGGTTTGCATCTTCAGAGATTGGTAATTTTTCAGATTTTTTAGTAATATGTGACCACTCATTAATTATACTGCCTTTAAATTCAGAGACGCCAGGCTACTGAAGGGGACAATTGTGAAACGATAATTACAGCGATTACCGAAGGATACTGTTGCTGAAGATGGAAGTAAGGATCTCAAATTGGAAATGCCGGAAGCCGCGTATTCGGCTCAAGGTTTAGAGAAGTGTAAAAATCGGCACATATCCAACCACAAGTTTGTTTTGTAATTGAAATATGTGCCCGCGAATGTCTTCGTAGAGCGCCGATTGCTGCCACTATAGACAGGCGGCATTATCAGGTTTAGACTCATGTAAAACGATGTCGAGACTTGTATATGTGAACTGGACAAACTGGCAGCCCGTGGTGGGTTTTAGGTATTTAATGCTTTGATGGCAAGGATAGGGCTGAACTCCCATGAAATGCAGAGCCCAACGGAGCATGAATTCTGTTTAGCCTTTCTGCGGTACATTTGAAGGACAAATACATATGTAGCTCAGATTTTAATAATGTGGGCAACCGATTTTCGTAGGTCAAGTGGTAGAAGGCAATCCAAGAAATTTATAATTTCCTCTCGTGACGTGTCCCAGCGACTTATTTGCCTCTGCAACCTTTTGTCCAACCGAGACCAAACACTTCGCCAATTGCCTCTCTTCTTTACGATTTTGCGCCAGTAGTTCATACCGAGTGCTGACAGTTTTTTCCGCACTTGGTCATTCTATTTTGTTCGTGGGCGCCCTTGATTTCATTGCCCACCCATCCACTAAGTCGAATTTCATACACATAAAATAAATAAAGACTATTGTAGAAAAAAGCGATATCAGCGGCCCGGGAATTGTGTAGGTCAACGGGTGATAATGCAAATTTTTCCAAGAATAAAATCACGCACAAAAGTTTGTTTCATTTTTGTTTCTGCAACTATTTTTTTTTTAGCGAATTCATGTTTTATCTAGATTGCCTTTTTCATGTTATCTTGATTTGCTTTGCCATTTTT